CTTAGCACAGCCTGCTCCATGTTTCTGGCAGTATGCAAATAGTGTTCCTTCAAGTCAGATGATAGCCATTTACAGCTCCTGAAATGCAACAACATTACTATGGAACACGGCAGTAGTATCAGCAACAGTTTAGAAAATTAATGATGGCGTTAGGAGTATCACTCTTTTTAGCAAATATGATATCAATGACCATGGCAAAAGTCTTAAAGTTTAGCAACAGTTCACACTTTAATGGAATAGCTTCTTGTACATTCTAGGGATGGATCCTAGTCAGGCTTAAACTTGTACAGACAAATAATCCCTCATCCGAAATAATAACATAGTACGAAGTACGTGGTAAAACTATTGTAATGACCCAAAAAGTCATCACTTGTTTTAGAAACAAATTCAGTGTTCCGAGGCCTAGAAACCTCCTATTTTTTTTCTCTCACCTCGATTTGCATGTGCAGTCCGTATAATTTTTCAGAACGTTTTTATGTGAAAAAATGGATTAAAATTTGAAATAGATCCATTATGTCATTTATGACTTGTGTGCCAAACTTGAATCATTCCGGATCCATTTGATATGTTTCGGCGCAAGTTTTGTAAATTGAAAAGTTTGAAACTCACAAGTCCGAATCGAGGTGTGAATTGACGTTTCAACATTTCTTGGAATGATTTGAAACCCTAGGTAAGTCCATATGATGTTTTAAGACTTGTTGATATATTTGGTTGAAGTCCCAAGGGCCTCGAGTGGATTTTGGATGGTTGATGGAGTTTAACTTGGGCATTTCAAGAATGTTTCGATGTCGTTTCTTCAAGAATAAGTGGTATCATATTAAGCAAATGAATTCCAAATTCAGTTTTGATTGAAGCATTAGATCTGTATCGAAATTTCGCAGCCATAGCAAAAAGAATCGTCCAATTCGGACATCGTATGAGAGAGTTATGCCCATTTTTGTGTCGGGGAAAAATAATTTCCCATCGCCAGCGCCCAGGGTAGCGCGGGGCGCCATCCATGGCGCCGGGATTATTTTTGGGTACTGCAACCAGCGCCGCAGGCAGCGCCCGGTGCCACCTGTGGCGCCCGAATCGTAAAATGCTATAAAACGGAGGTTTTGGCCATTTTTGACAAAAATAGAGTTGGGGGAGCTCGGTTTGGGCGATTTTCAGAGGGGTTTTCACAAATTTGAATGAGGTAAGTGTTATTTATCATAAATCCTTTATAGATCATGATTCCATACTCATTTACATCATGAATCCATGAATTTATGGAAGAAAAATCAGATTTTTACCAGATCTTCCAAAAACGAAAATTTAAGATTTGAAAGCCAATCCGATGTCGGAATTCGATAATTTTTGTATGGTTGAACTCGTATCGGAATGGGTTATCATATTTTGTCAGTTTCATATGATTCCGAGGAGTGGGCCCCACGGGCAATTTTTGAGTTAAATCCGAAAAATTAGTAAATTCATATGGAATTAATTTCTACTATTTGTATTGAGTATATTAAATTATTTGTGACTAGATTTGAAGCCTTCGAACACGAATTTTCAAGGCGAAGGTTTATTGGAATCTTGAATTTGGTTGCAAAGCGAGGTAAGTGTTTGATCTAACTTTGGCTTGAAGGAATAGGATTAGAGTGTTATTAATTGCTAATTGCTAAATGATCGAGTACGGTGTATAGGCATGGTGACGAGTATCTATACACCGGTGTCTAGCATGACCGTGGGTCCTTGTATGCACTTATCCTGATATTGTTATGACTCATCCATGTTAATTGATGAATTTTATGCAATGTGAAGAGTATGAGAACTAATTATGAATTGCAAATCCTTTGGAGCGCTGGCTCGAACGACAAAAAGACTATTGAGTAAGAAATGAAAGCAATAGAAAGGGGTATGATTAATCCCTTGCCGGGATGGTTTGAGTATATTGACTATTTCCCTTGCCGGGATGTGAAAGTATTGTTGTTGCTCCCTTGCCGGGAGTTAGCTGTTAATTGTGTAATTCCCTTGCCGGGACATTTCTTATTATTTGTTTATCCCCTCGCCCCGTTTGGTTGTGATTACTGTTTGGGTGAGGAAGAGTGTTAATGCACGAAGGGTCATTCCGTGCCATGTTTTGATTATATTTGCACGAAGGGTCATTCCGTGCCATGTTTTGATTATATTTGCACGAAGGGTCATTCCGTGCCATGTTATGATTATTTATGCACGAAGGGACATTTCGTGCTCTGATTTGATTATAATTGCACGAAGGAACTTCCGTGCCATGATATGAGTGTTATGTGAGGGAAAGCACGAGGGGTGATGCCGTGCACTTTATTTGATTGCTTTGGGTGAGAATGAGAGTAAAAGCACGAAGGTTGATGTCGTGCAACTGTTGATTTTCCTGCTCTCATTAATTATTGTTATTGCCCTGTTTCTTATTTAAATTGTTGACTTTATATCCGGACTGTACTCCCCCATAGTATGCTTCCCTCCCTCTTAACTGTTTAATTTCTGTACTCTTTCCTTGTATTGCATATATATACATTGAACTGCACAGGTTGATTTGGTAGTCCTGTCTAGCCTCGTCACTACTTCGCCGGGATTAGGCCAGGCACTTACCAGCACATGGGGTCGGTTGTGCTGATGCTACACTTCTGTGCTCTTTTGCACAGATCACGGTACCGGAGCAGCTTTTGGACCACAGCAGTAGGATATCGATCGGGAGCTGACTTCAGTCCAGGGACTTACGAGGTAGCCTAGCTGGTGTTCGCAGGCCGGAGTCCCTTTCTATGTTTCAGTTTGTTTCCATTGTACCGAGACAGACATTTATGTATTTCTATTCAGACTTGTTTGTAGCACTCTTTAGTAGTTCGTGAGATAGCGACTTCAGTCTTGGGTAGTGAAATATTAGACTTCCGCATTTTGGGTTTTCAGTTATCTATGTTTTGAAAGACTTCCGCATTTATTTAAAGACTCGTTATTTTATTATTGTTATGTTGTTATCCGAAAATGTTTAAATGTTTGGCTTGCCTAGCTCCAACAGTAGGCGCCATCACGACTCCCGACGGTGGGAAATCCGGGTCGTGACAACTATATAATTTCTGGTCTCAATTAGGACATTGATTCCATAATTTTCCTAAATTATATGAACATATTTAGATTATATCACATGTTAATTACAAATATTTACGTGTTTGAAAAAATTACTGTAAAAAAAGCTGTTTATATAGTAATTAATATCATATAAATTGAAAAAACAGTATTACTTCTACCATAGTCATCAGAACTAATGCAAAAAATACCTGGCAAATTTCAAGTCTTTATAAGCAGCAAAAAGTGATGTTTTCAGAACCGCAATGGAGCTGTCGGTGAGCCTCTTAACTCTAGCAACCGACAACAATATTGCAACAGTAAAATGATTAAACACCCGATAATCAGACCTCACTAGCCCTAACACCTCTTGTCCTAAAGAAGGATCCTGCTTGACAGCAAAATTCACATGAAGCAACACAGTCCCTTCAACTTGTCTCATTATTGAACCACCTGACTTCACCCCACCAAAATACATCACAATCCCTTCGATGACTTCCTTCTTACCAAAACCCTTTGATCCCAATACCAACAATTGATACACCAACCCGGGCAAATCCTGCAAGTCCACATTCCTCATTCCACTAAACACCCGCTCCAAAAATTCCCTCCTCTTCCCCTTCCCAATGAAATTCAAATCCTTAACAATTTCTACCAATTTTAACAACAAAACCTTACTCCAATCACAGCTAAGAATTTTATCAAACACCTTATCGACATATTCCAAAGGCTTATCAACATCATTTGAAAACCTAATCAGCTCAATACATTTAGCAAGTATAGTTAGTACATGAGTATCCTCAGAATCAATAATCTGAGGTAAATAAGATATAATCAAATCGACTATTGTCGTTAGATCATGGATTTGGACTGTTTCTATATGGGACACGAAAAGTTGGAAAATGGAGAGAGAGGATTTATCGTGGGGGATTTTGTGGGAAGTGAAAAGGGAAATATAGGAAGAAAGAAGAAGAGGGACGAGTGGGGAAAGTGAAGAGTGGAGTTGCGCAAGGGAGAGGAGAGCTGAGAGGTATTCGGAAACGGCGAGTGAAGGGTTTGAAGAAGAGGCGCGTGAGTGGAGATAGGATATGAGGGTTTGGTGAGAGTCGACGGAGAGGAGAAATTGGGGTAGTGGAGTGGAGGATTGTGGGTGATATAGTTGAGCTAATTGAACTATGTCTACGTCGCTCAATGATGGTGGTGGTGGCGGTTGATGGTGGCGGGCGGCGGAGGGAGTTTTGGCTGCGGCGGAGGTCATGGCGGTGGCATATGCGTGCGTCGGAAGTTAATGGTAGTGATGAAAACGAAAACTTTTATGTTGGTTTGTTTTGCGCGGGAAATTCAAAATGCGGGAAATAACCAGCCTTTTTTTCTCTCTCTTTCAGGTGCTTTTTAAATGGGGAAATTACAATTTAGAGGGTGTTTGAATTGACTTATTTTAAGTGCTTATTGATTTTTAAGAATTTTTTTAATTTGTGTGGTGTTTGGCAATATAAAAGGTGCTTAAAAGCACTTACTTTTAGGCATAAAAGTACAAAAATAAGCCAAAAGCCAAAAGTTGGATATTACCAACTTATGGCTTTTGGCATTTGGCTTAAAAACGTACTTTTTATAAGCTAATCCAAACACCCTCTTATTCGTGTTCTCAAATTCTCATTGACGCGTATATACTCCCAAACAATGATAAAATCACAAGATAATTAGTGGGCGTTTGGACATAAGAATTGTAAAATTTCAAAACAAAGTGAAATCTTTTTGGAAATGGACATGACGTTCTCTATATTTTCTATTGTTCTGTCGACACATTCTTTCCCTCATTTTCCAGTAAAATATGGTACCATGATTGATTTTTATGCGGTCATCATATCATGTGAATGATAATTAGTAAGGGCTCAGAATTAATTTGCATTCTATTCGTTTTTATTTCTTACTTTTGTAGGTTTTATGATTTTACTCTAATCGGGCTAGCATGTCCCACTTCCGCAACTAATATCTCTCTATTGCTTCTTTCTCTTGGCTGCCAAGGTAAATTTTCATTTTTGTTTTAGAGATTTTTATGGGTATTCTATGTTTGTTTGGTGTTTCCTGTATCTTTGTATTTTATATTCTCAGATTTCCTGTATCTTTCCCTCATTTTCCAGTAAAATATGGTACCATGATTGATTTTTATGCGGTCATCATATCATGTGAACGATAATTAGTAAGGGCTCAGAATTAATTTGCATTCTATTCGTTTTTATTTCTTACTTTTGTAGGTTTTATGATTTTACTCTAATCAGGCTAGCATATCCCACTTCCGCAACTAATATCTCTCTGTGCTTCTTTCTCTTGGCTGCCAAGGTAAATTTTCATTTTTGTTTTAGAGATTTTTATGGGTTTTCTATGTTTGTTTGGTGTTTCCTGTATCTTTGTATTTTATATTCTCAGATTTCCTATTTATAGCAAATAAATCTGAATCTTTTGGTAATTTTGTTGCCCACTTTCTGAGAAAGAAAAAGAAGGCAACGGTTTATAAACTACTCGCTCCAATTAGCACTTTATTCCATGTAACTCTCTCTTTTTGACAAATAATTTTTTTCTGAAAGAAGGTGTTGCCTTCCCTTTGTGGTTGTACATAAAGTTATTTCCATGATCAGGTATGCTTCAGTTTTTCGGGCTTGATTGGGGTGTTCTCTTTACCTATCTGTTTGGGATTATATTCACTAACTATGTTATTCATTTAATATATTTAACTTTAATTTGATTTTTCGCTCATGTAGATGTTGAAAAAACTCATCGACTAAGATAAAAACTAGATTCCCTTCGATATGAACAACCTAGCCAATATGATCCATAAGAGTAAGCACGCAGTGTAAGTTATGTATTTGAGTGAGAAAGATTGATAGTTGAACTTCATTGCAGAAGTTACCTCTCTTAGGGGAGGCTAGCTAATTATGTAAATTTTAATTAAGATGACAGTGTAATATATCTGAAAGATTCTACCTCTAGCATATAATTTAGGGTTTCGTTTTAGTAATAAAGGTTTATACTAAAAAGAAAAAAGTACCACAAATAGAAATATTCTTTGAATGAGTCACCGTAGATTTGGTACTAGAGGTTTCCTTCTATTATCACTTATTTTAAGCATGATGGAGAAACTTAATTTATTGTGTTATAAAATGGGCAAAGAAGAAATTTACTGCAGAAATGATCTGCAAGAAGGCAGTAACATTTCTATCCCTTTTACCTAACCTGTTGAAATGTTTAGATTTGCATCTTTTTCCGCTTTTTCCTTTTAAAAACAGTGTTTCCTCTTTCTCTTCTTCTTTGGAAATTACAAAATATGTAACTAACTACTAATTGAAAGCTCTATCTACATTACGTAAATCTGAGATATTTGTCACATTAATTTTTTTTTATTATATCCCAATTATCTCACATTATATTGATATTTTTGCTATTTTTTTTAATATTGAGAAATTTACAATATCATACTTTTTATTATTTTTTGTATATACTTAATTATTTAGTAAACTTGAAAAATATATTTCATGACCGCGCGAAGCGCGGGTAAATTTACTAGTGATATGTATAAAAAAAAAGTTATTACAGTGTAGCTGCATATGCCCCTACAAGAATGAGAGTAGAGATTAAGAATTTCAAATTTGAAGAGGACAAGAAAGAAATCTAAGACTCTTTCATCTGGAAGTTATAACTAAAGGTTCATGCCTTATAAGTGGATTGAAGTTTGTAACGACCCGACCGGTCGTTTTGAAAATTAGCATCCCGTTCGGCAGCTTAAGGTCTCGAGCAGCTTCGTATTATGTGTTATGACTTGCATATGTGGTCGAGTTCGGTTTTCGGATGATTCGGGGTAATTTAGAAGAAGGATTTCTTGTTTTAGAAGTTTAAGCAGTAAGAGTTGATCGGAGTTTGACTTTTGTATAGATGACTCCGAAATGGCATTTTGATGATTCCAACAGTTTCGTATGGTGATTGCGTGCGTTCGGATTTTGATTTGGAGGTCCTTAGGATAATTTGAAGCATTTTTGGCGAAAATTGAAAAGTTGAAGTTTCGGAAGGTTAAGAGGTTTGACCGGGAGTTGACTTTATTGATATCGGGCTCGGATTTTGATTTCGAGAGTTGGATTAGCTCCGTTTGTCATTTGAGACTTGCATGTAAAATTTGACGTCATTCCGGATTGATTTGATATGTTTCGGCACGAGTTTTGGAAGTTGAAAGATTTAAACATTCATAAGTTCGATTCGAGGTGCGATTCGTAGTTTCGACATTGTTTGATGTGATATGAGACCTCGAGCAGGTCTGCGTCATGTTATGAAACTTGTTGGTATGTTTCAGCGGGGTCCTAAGGGCCTCGGGTGTGTTTCGGATGGGCTACAGGCTATTTCCTCCTATTTTGGAATGTTGTTGCTCGTGTCTAATGTCCTTCTGTGCGATCGCGTTGGTGCAGCCGCGATCGCGAAGGCTGTTCTGGTGACTGGTCCTTTTTCCTCTTCGCGTTCGCGTGCATATGGGTATTGCTATTCCGCGTGTATTGCATAATTCCATCTTTATTTTTATTATTTAAATAGTGGTTTGTGTTGGGAAAAATGAGGATTTTGAGAAAAACTTTCAAAAATGTAAAATGAGGATATGAAGGGCGATTCGATATTGGAATTTGATAATTTTGGTATGGTTGGACTCGTATCGGAATGGATATTCAGATTTTATAAATTTTATCGAGTTTCGAGGTGCGGACCCAGGGGTTGACTTTTTTACTTTTAATTAAAGATCGAAGCTTTATTATCCGGAATTATTTCCTATGATTTTTTTGTGATTTGAAGTTATTTTGGCTAGATTTGAGTCATCCAGAGGTTGTTTCACTCGAGAAGGTCATTTTAGAGTATCGGTCTAGCTTCTTTGAGGTAAGTATCTTGCCTAACTTTGTGTGGGGGAACTACCCCTTAGGATTTGAGTCATTTTTGCTAATTGTGTCATGTGAATGCCGTGTATGCGAGGTGACAAACGTACTCGGGCTTAATTGTGGAAATATGATCGTTTAGGGATCTTAGGTTCTTATGTTCATTAGATATGAAGTTGTTTTGTCATGTTAAATCCTCCATTTACTAAATTCACCCTTACGTGTCTTATTTGAAATTAATTGATTCTTGTTCTACCCTTATTGTCAATTAAACTCTATGTGCCTTAATTGAAGTTATTGCCTCTTTTATTGTCATGCTATCTTTTATGCAACTGCTTAACTTTAATTGAAGTTATTATTATCTCTTCCGCAATTGCTTAACCTTAATTGAAGTTATTAGTATCTCTTCCGTAATTGTTTAACCTTAATTGAAATTACTATTATCTCTCCCGTAATTGCCTAGCTTTAATTGAAGTTTGTTATTGCTTTCATTGTTGACGTATTCTTATTTGGGATCGTTAATTCATGCTATCTCTCTTATCGTCGAATTGTACTTCTGTAGAATCATTGTTACACGTTATCTCTCCCTTGTTGAGCTATTCTTGTTGACACCATTATTCCCCGTTGTGTCTTTCCTTGTGAGCTCGTTCTTCCGCTTCTTTATGTTCTGAAGTTCTTGTGTTGATTTACTTGCCATATTCTCGTGTTATTGTTGTACTCAGTGTTGTTGAGCCGAGGGCTATGCGTGGTTTGTGGTATTAAATATGTTTTGAGGAAATGTTGTGGCATATGGGCACATATTGTGAAAGTCATTTTATTGTGTTATTATATTTTGAATCACGTGGTATTGTTGTGAGGATTGTCGGGGCGTTCGCACGTGAGTTATCCGTGCTGTTGTTACTATTGATATTTGCACATGTGGCGTGATAAGGCGGGCTATATATATGTGGGTTTGCGCATGTGGTGAGACAAGATAGAAATATTATTGTGCGCGTGCGGCGAGACAAGGCGGTCATTTACTTTATTATTGCGCACGTGGCGAGGCAAGGTGGGCTATGTCGGGGAATGATTGTGATGACTTGTGGTGGCCTGGGACCATTGTTATTGTTGATATTTGTGTTATTGTGTAGTGGTGTGCCTACCTTGTGTGAGTTATACCGTGTACATTTTGAGGTAATCATTTCTTATGTACCATTCATTGTATCTACTCCTACTTGTTGACTTTAATTGTGGTAGAACACTAGCACAAGCATACACGTAAATAAATCACCCATATCGGTTTAAGAAGATGAATCCTGATGTTATTGACCATTTACATGTACTCCCGCGTACTTGCCTTCTGTGTAAGAGTTATCCTGTTGGCACGTGAGTTGTCCGTGCAGTCATGAGTCATTGTTGTTGTTGGCACGTGAGTGGCCCGTGCGAATACTAGATATTATCACTCTCTTGGCACGTGAGTCGTCCGTGCGGTTATGAATTGTAATGTGGGCACAAGATGCCAAGTGATTAGGGTTCATGAATTGGGACCCGTGAATTGTGACTGTGAGGTTTGGTACTGTTTGACCAAAAAGTGTTAAGCCTTTTTGTTAAACTAATTAAATAAGATGATAATGGGTAAATCCTAGTTAAATATAATAAATCCTAGATATGATATTAATAGACATCAATAACATAAAATTTCATTCAAGGCTATTTAATACCAATGGGGTGTTTAATGGTATTGTTATGAATGTATGAGGGAATAATGACAAGCAACAAATATAATAAATGGCAATAAATGTAAATAGAGAGAATAATTCACCCAAATATTCAATGAGGTGGATGTTTCTCTATCTGAAAATGATGTAAGACAATCAAATGTGGGAATATAGAAAGCTTTCTCAGATCTGATGTGAAAAAGCTTGGGACCAACAACAAATCGAATCTTTTGTAAAGACAATGTTTGTAGTTTACTTGAGAGTCAACTTTTCAAGAGAGAGTTTATCATAAAGAATATTACATGCCTTTCTCTTCTCTCTCTGTTCCTACTTATATAGGACATATCCCTTACCTAAGTGAAAGTATAAGTGCAGAGAATATTCCTTTAAAATATCTTATTACCAAACTAGCTGTTTGGGCCGATCTGAGTGCTCGACCTCGACCCTAGTTGCTCAGCTCTCTAGTTTGCTACTTCTTAAGCATGACCTCGGCCTAATAGATCTTAGTTATCCTCTCTTAGACAAGATTCCTTTGATCAGATTAACCCATATAGTTAGTCCCTCCACCTGTCGGGGTTGTCTTTGGACGAGCTCAATGGGAAGACTTCGCCAGTGGCAATTTGAGAAATCTGAGCATGTTAGCCGAGGAGTGACCCTTTTATGGCGAGGTGATGACGTGGTGCTTCAAGAGCCACATCTGACCGTTATGTCAGTTTGAAATGACGTCATTTCATCATGCGTC